AATAAAAAAAGAAAAAGAAAGAAAAAAAAAAAAAAAGAACTATCCCTTTCCTTACTCTAACACTCAAAGCACAAGGAATGCTCGAAATGTTCTTGATAAATGAGATCTCAAAGTATCGTTTAAAAACATAAAGAAATAGTGTGTATTGAAGAGCCACAAAGGCACTAACCAGAAAAGAGAAACTAGACCAAGGACAATTTGAAACATTTCTTGGTATCAGTTCACCACCCCTTATGCTAGATACAATGTAGAGTTAGTTCAGCCCATTTCTTTGAGTGTCCACTTTGTAAAACTTTCCATCAAACCCAGACCCTTTTCTCCCACATTCCCACCATCATGTTGGTGTTGGGACTTGCTCAGGTCTGAGAGGTATTTCTGCACCATAAAGCTGGCACAAAATAAAATTAAAACCCCATAGAAATGAGCCTTTATCTTAGCATTAAAGTGTATAGTCTCACATCGCTCTAGCTTCTGTAACTCTTCTCCCATTATTCTTTATTTTCCCTACTTCCAACTAAGAAAATAACAATGAGGTCCAAGTTTGCCATGAACTGAGAATAGAGCGTGTAGATGGACAGATGTTGTAAAAATGATTTTGTATACTTGTGGGAAGGTGGGACCCATATGAATACTCATGAAAGTCTCTATAATATTTGCCTTGACCTTGTAAGATCAATAATGATGAGGGCATATTCAGGCAGAACAAATTTCCAGCTACCATATACCCCAGGATTGCCAGCAAGTAAAAGAGTTTAGTCCTCTTATCAGGCTCTGGATGGGAAACCAGAGGCCACAGAAAAATGGATCATTCCTGCCACTGAAGCCCAGCTGAGATATCCAGGAGAAGAAGCACCTTTCCAACACAGTGGTTGCTATGGATACAGCTTCTCCACCCTCAGGCTAACATCTCTTCCTCTTCTGCATCTAAAAAGATCTGGGGATACACATCCCAGAAACTTTTCGAGAGGGGTCTGACAGATTACAGATGTTACAGAAACCACCTACCATGCCATGCCCCCTTCTTCCCTAAAGAGGAAAAAATGTGTGCGTTCATTTTTCAAAAAGATTGGGGAGCACAATGAAAATATTCTTCAGATGAAAATATGCAATGAAAAGAATCATAATATTGATGGAAGCATGAAGAATGTGTGAATAAAAGGTGGACTTCACCAGTATCTTCCCAAAAGCCTCCTGAAAGCCAGGGTGTGATCCAGCTGTTTCTCACCATAAAATCTGTTCTTTTACAACTATGCTCTGGCCTCAGTGCATACATCACATGTAGAAAGTTGTAGTCTGGACTTTTACCTAAAATCAGTAGCAATATTCAACTTGGGATTAAAAAACCCTTGAGAAATTGTCATATAATTTCCTTGAAAAATCTTGGCAGAAAACAGTGTGGACATCTGGGAGTCAGCATCACCACACACAAGGGAAGATAAATTTAAAGGTTGCATCAGTAATTCTTGTTCTCAATAGTAACCAATTAGCTGCCCCTAAGACACCAGCCGTGACTTTACTTTCTGCTGTTTCGTCAGCATCTAATAAGGTCTGGGGACCTATACTCTCTGCTCACTGGTTGGGTCAATCCTGCTTGGTGATCAGTCTTGTGGTAAAAATATCACAGAACCTCAGACTTGCACGTCAGCATCTCTTCATTGTTGATGCAGTAAAACAAGGATGCTTCTCCACATGGAAAGGTGAGCATATGATGGAACAGGTGCGCCCATGATGTGGAACACTGCTGCAGAAGGATCCTTGTCTCTGCAGCAACCAGGGCTAAACCCATAAAAAGCTGTCTGCTCCCATTAACTGACAGCAATATTGCATGTTAGGTGGGCTTCTACCAGTGGGGAAGGCAGAACCAGATATTTCATTCATGAGAATGCTAAGTAGTCTGGGAGTCCAGCACTAGCCCAGTATTTGGGGCAGTGAAATGTGGTTGTTTTGGTCCCTCTGCTCCTTACTGGGGTTTCAGTGGTCTGGGGTGCCATGTAGCCTTGTTTTGCTATGGAAACAGGGCATTATCAGCCAGAACACTGGCAGTATGGGATGCATATTCACCTCACTCCAGGACAACAGGCTGTGACAAATGAATTTCCTTCTCCTCTCCTTTCCCCTCAGCCCCAAATGGGTTCTTGATTTCTTTGAAGACAACAGCTGCAAAGGAAGGAAGCCCTGCCTCCCATATGGTGACTCTTCTATGTATGCCTGGCCTCAGGGACCCTGGTGACTTGGTGGACTTACTGGCATCAACAGGAATAGGAGAGGCTCCTTCAGGCTATGCCACTCAGGGGTTAGCAGTTCAGTTCCATGAGCAGCCCTTTAAAATTCCAGGCCCACGGTGCATTAGTGAGAGTGACACATTCCACACTGCTGACCTTTAGCTTAGAATTGAGATGCTGGAGCCAAAAACCATCGTGAGAGAAGTTACTGATTGAGAGGACTGAAGAAAGAAGAGTGTTCACTGACCTTTGATCTAAGAGTGAGTATGTGAGTGTCAGGTGCCCAGCATATCCTCATAAGTGGGTTAATCCCATGAACTACTATCACAGCCACTTCTGTCACAGGCCAGCATGAACCATGGGAAGGTGGGTGGTAAATCCTAGATTTACAACTTACCTCATGTTGTTGAGCAACCCCCAATGTCTGTGGTCTCCAGTCTTTTCTATAAAATGCTTGTGTTAAAGTAGAGCCTTTCTAAGCCCCATGTCATTCCACAGGTCTGTAACACATAAGTGATATTATCTAAGGATAGAACTAAGTAAGATAAATAAAGCTAACCTTTCACTTAAGGTTGAGAGGTCATCAAGAATAGATTTGTTCCTGTTTTAAAATATTTTGTCACTGCATTTGGAAATAGCAGTTATTCAAATTTGGGCATTCTGGCTAAAGTCCTAGCTATGTGACTTAAGCTCTCTAGAACTCTGTAAGCCTTAGTTTCTGCTCTTAAAAGAAGGGGATCATGGTTAATATGGTGAGTAATAGAAATACTGAATTTCTGTGATGAACGTAGAAAAAGCATAAGTTCTCAACAGACGATGATGGACCATAGAATGTGTTGCATATTTTAAAAGGGATAGTCAAAGGGAATATTACTAACATTATTGTTATGTTTACTTACAAATTAATGTTATAAAAACAATAAAATGTTGTATAACTAAAAAAATGTCAATAACTCTGCATAATTAAACTATTTAAGCATAACACTAATGATCATAATATTACACTTAGAATTTGAGGAACACATAAGAAACATTGGCATCATATGCCAAGTGAGTTACATAATTTATCTTAATTAAGTCTCATAAGAACATGAACAGGTAGATCCTATCATCTTCATTTTACAGAGGGTGAAAGTGAAGTTCACAGAAGTGAACTACCTTACCAAATATTACTGATCTCTCAGAAGTTAGAAATCAGTATTGATGTGTATTGAACTCTGGGCCTTCTGATTCAAGAACCAACTGACTAAACCACTTTACTATCTGCCTCTCCACCTTCTCTGATAGTCAAATAACTTAATCACATGCTCCTCTAAAACCTTTGTGTTTCCTGATGTCTTCACTGTAGGTTAAGACCAGCAGTGACGCTGCTGTGGAAAGACATGCCCATGGAAATGGGGAATGTTACAACTGTCCAAGAATTCACCTTGGAGGGGTTTCCTGCCATCCAGCACCTGGGAAAGGTCCTCTTCCTGGTGCACCTGCTGGCTTACCTGGCATCCATTGCAGGCAATGCCGTCATAGTCACCATCACCTGTGCTGACTCCCGGCTCCACACACCTATGTACTTTTTCCTCAGCACTTTCTCCTTCTTTGAGTGTTGCTTTACAAGTGCTGTTATTCCTAAGTTGCTGGTCATCCTTCTTTTAGGCAAGCAAACCATTTCCTTTCCTGCCTGTTTCATACAAGCCTTTGTCTTTGTATTTCTGGGAGCAGCAGGTTTCCTCCTCATAGCAGTGATGTCTCTGGATCGGTATGTGGCCATTTGCAAGCCTCTGCATTACCTGACCATCATGAACCCGAAGACTTGCTTCCTCCTGGTCACTGCCTGCTTCGCTTTGGCCTTCCCTCTCATCACTGGTCTGGTAGTAAAGGTTTCCCAGTTACCCTTCTGTGGCCCCCATGTCATCCCCCACTTCTTCTGTGACCTTGGCCCCCTGATTCATCTCTCCTGTTCTGACACCAGGTCTGTTGAAATGTTGGCCTTCGTCCTTGCCTTGTTTGTCCTTTTGACATCCCTTATCATAACCAGCATTGCCTACAGCAACATAGTAGTCACAATCAAGCGACTCCCATCAGCCAAGGAGCAACAGAAAGCTTTCTCCACCTGCTCTTCTCACCTCATAGTCCTCTCTCTGATATATGGCAGCTGTGTGTTTATATATGTGAAACCAAAGCAAATGAACAGGCTGGACTCCAACAGGGAGGCTGCCCTTGTGAACACGGTGGTAACCCCACTGCTCAACCCTGTCATCTACACTCTGCGGAACAAGCAGGTCCACCAGGCTCTGAGGGAGACAATGTGCGGAATGAAATATCAAGATAAAAAAAATCACATGGCCTTGGACTAGAAGACCTTAGAGAACCCTGAGTCCTCATTCTGGCCAATGTAGCAGTCCACAGATTTGTAGTACAGGGTCTCTGGCAGATCTCACTTGACCTTGCACATCCTTAGGAAAATGGAAGTCTGTTTTCTCAAGGCTACATTTTACCTTGATGTGCATACTATCTTCTCCCTAAATATTCCACATTTTGATGACAATTAATTGCAATATCCTTTACTGAATTTTTTCTTCCCTCTGATATAAAGATATGCTTGAAATTTCCTAAATTTATACACTTTTTATTTCACTTCTTTCTAGGCATAATCATGGCACAATGGACTGATGATTAACCAAAAGCCATTTAGATAATTAAAACAATAGAAGGTTGTTTATTACTTTCTGGTTATGAAGGAAATTATAGGAATATTACCAATACTTCAGTCCATATTCCCTCCATGCCTAGCCCAAGGAAATAATGTTCATAGTACCCTTCACCTTGGAATATATATGGTTTGCATCAGATGTGCTATTCTTGGCCCTCAGCTTAGCTACATATGCAAGTGTCAATCCCATGCTGGAGGGAAACAGAACTGTTCTCAGGCTTAGATCATTCTCTAAAGAGAGGGAATGACCACACCATCCCATGGCTGACCAGCTCCTATTTCCTAAATTATTTATTTTAGCTCCAGCCCCTCAGATGCATTATACATATTTATGGTTGATTCCTATCCTAAAGCTGTTACCACAGATACATGTGTATATCAGTGGAAGGGAGCACTTATTGCTTCTTACTTCTTGCTTCATACTTTTGTAATTTCTTCCAAAATTCAAGTCATTTATTTATCTACTTCATATTACTAATGAAAATAAACGAATTAAACATTTTTACTCATTGAATTGTGTTGTCAACTATAAGGTTATCTTCTGATTGATAATCTATTTTAAAACCAACATTTCCATTATCTCAATCCTTAAAACTTGTGTACTTTTTCCAAATATTTGACAGCTAGAATGTATCTAGTTATTCTTCAAAAGAAACATTTCTAAAATTATTAAGACAATTTTTTATTTTGTTTCTCTTTAGGCAAACCCTGAGGTTAGATAATAATCATATGTATTTTATGAAACACACTGTACACCATGAATAGATCCTATTTGGCCTGCATGGTCCTATTACAAAGTTCAGAATTCATCTCATTGACAATAAGGAAATATCAAACATGTCCTAAAAAAAATCACAGATGATTGGCTGTATACATGGTATAAAAAAGAGTTTGGAAGAGGAGGAGCAAGATGGTGGAGGAGTAGGAGACCTAAATTTTATCTGGTCCCAGGAATTCAACTGGATAGGGATCAAACCATTCTGAATGCCTACGAACTCAACAGGAGATCAAAGGAAAAAATAGCAGCAACTCTCTGAACAGAAAAGCGACCACTTTCTGGAAGGTAGGATGTGCGGAGAAGTGAATCCAAGGCGATATTTGGGAAGATAGATGGTGGGGGAGAGGGCCTCCAACGGCCGCTTCTGGCAAGTGATATAGCAGTGGAGCACAAAATTGGAACTTTTAGAAGTCAGCTCTGCTGAGGCACGTCGCCCCAGTGGCTAAGCAGGGGGTGGAACCGTCTCTGGGACTGTGTGGTCTCAGGATCCTCAGGGTCACAGAAAGACCGGGGGTGCCCAGGTATCAGAGCACGGAAGCTGGCTGCAGAGACGGAGCCAAGGAGTGGGCTCTCAGCTCGGGGTTGCCATAAAC